GTTGAGCCCAAGAAATCTTTCCAAGCAGAGATAATTTATCAAATCGATAAAGTAATTAACATTGGTTTTGTTGAATTTTGTTGCTATATTATTAATCGATGTTTGATACTTATAAATCGGATCCACATATTTTGATAATGTCTGTTTATCTCAATGTACATCTACATTTTGCGGTTATAATAATTTATAAAATTGTTTGTATAGAAAAAAATTATTTATATATATAAAGGAATATTATTATGGATTTTTTCTAAATGAAAACACAAAATTGTTTCTCTGAAATACAAAGAAACGACATTTAATGTCCACTTATCTATCTTTTTACACTATAATCCACTAAATTAATTTACACGTCATCCGCCATTTTATCGCGTGTCACTCCGACGCGTCAAATTCAAATTAATGAAATATCATTCCATTACATCTCCCCCCTAAGAGAAAAAAATTCTGAATAATATATCTACACACTATACTTAATAGCTATCTTCATATTCGTTTTCCTTATATTTCATCTTCTTCAGATTCTGTTGTAACCGGTTGAAATTTTGTTATGTGGAACAAAGTTGATTCTGTTTTTCTGTTACCAGTGTCAATCCTATAAATGGAGTTCGATATTTTCCCTACTATCTTAAAAGGACCTATTTTTAATTCGTCTAATTTCTTTCTATTCAGTCTATTTCCATTCTCAACATATACACTGTCGCCTATATTAAACTCTTGCATTTTTCTTTTTCTATCAAATATTTTCTTATTGTACTTGTGGGATTTTATTGTATTTTCTAATGCCAATCTTTTATCAGCAATCCACTTGTCTTCTCCTTCTATTATTTTTAATTCATTTGGTAGAATGCTGACATTTGTACCATCCAGTAAATATTTTGGTGCAAAACCTGTAACGGAGTGTTCTGTTTCATTATATTTCTCTACACATTCTCTTGCCACTGTTGTCCATGTTCTCTTATTATTTTTCTCATTTATTCTACATCTTATTTTATTAACTATTGTTTGATTTAACCTTTCATTCAAGCCATTTGAGAATGGTGTATTCACAGCTGTAAAAAATTAATTTAACATTATTTTCATGTAGATATTGCTTAAATTCTCTTGAATTGATGCCTGGATATTGATCTGTCAAAATTATTCCAATCTCATCTGTTTCTAGTACATTCTTTGTTAGTTTTATAAAATCACTTGCATTCTGTGTTTTTGACGTCACAATAAATGCATATCTTGTATAATGGTCTACTAAAAGGTGTAGGTACTTTTTTGTTGATCTAGATCCTCCAAAGCCACCTATAGTATCCATTGACATTATCTCAAATGGTTTTGTTGCTGGTCCCAGTTGTGACATTAATCCAAATTTTCCTTGACCTCTTGATTTATTTTTTATGCATATTTCACATGTTTTACAAATATTTATGATATTCTTTGTTAGGTTTTTAGCTGTGTATATTGGACTTATTTTTTTCTGCAATTGTCTGATCCCAATATGGCATAAATCTTCATGCACCTTTTTGATAAGTTTCTTACTAAATTCTTCTGAGAGGATAATCTTTTCATGTTTCTTTATTTTCTTATAATATATTGTATTTTTTTTGTATTAGATTTTCTTTATTTTCTTCTATTGTTTCATTTTGCTCTTGATCTTCAACTATATCCTTTATTTGTATTAAATTAACTATTTTCAATAATTCCTCTTTGTTATCTTCTGATTCTAATACAGGATTTCGGCTTAAACAGTCTGCTTCTACATTTTCTTTACCAGGTATATATTTTACCGTAAAGTCGTATTGAGACAGGTAGTATGTGAGATCACCCAATTCTTCGTCTGTCCTGCATTTAATGTTCATGTTTTCTAAAGGTTTGTGGTCTGAGTAAATAGTGAATTGTTTTCCAATGAGCCAGTGTTGCCAGTATTTGACTGCTTCTTTCATAGCAAAACATTCTAAGTATATAGCTTTTTTCCGTTTTTGAGATTCATTCAGTTTTTTTGAAAAATATGCTACTGGTTTGTCATTACCGTCCAGTTGTGTTTGTTTTAATATTGCTCCGATACCCTCTAAGGATGCATCTGTAAAGATTTTTATTGGTAAGTCTTTGTCATATATTTCCAATACCGGTTGAGAACATAAATATCTCTTTATTTGATTAAATGATTCTTCACACTTCTCTGACCACACAAAGTTTTCGTTTTTTCTTAATAATTTATGTAATGGATCTAAGATAATCGCGCTCCTTGGTATGTATTCATGGTAAAAGTTAATTTTTCCCAAAAATTGTCTGATATTCTTTTGTGTCTTCGGAGTTGGAAAATGTTTTATCGAAATCAAATTATCTTTTAACGGTCTTACCGAGTTGTTTTGAATTACATGGCCAAGATACTTTACTGAGTCTGAGGCAAAGGTACACTTCATAAACTTCAATCTAAAGCCTTCTTTTATTATTGCCTCTAATACATTTTTTTATGTGTCTTATATGGTCCTCAAAAGTAGAGGAGTAGATTAAAATGTCATCAATATAATTTACAGAGTATCCTGTGAGATTGTGCTTTCTCAGAATATTACTTAAAACTCTCTGGAAAATTGCTGGTGATGTTTTTAAACCAAAAGGAAGGCAGGTCCACTGAAAATGGCCATCTTGTGTGACAAATCCTGTTTTATATCTATCTTCCACCCGTAGTGGTATGGCCCAAAATGCTGAGTTTATATCAAGAGTAGTAAAATACTTACAATTTCTTGTCTTAATAATTAAATCATCTATTAATGGGAAAGGTTGAGCTTGTGGTACAACAATTTTGTTAAGTTCTCTAAAATCTATACATAATCGAGATTTTCTATTTTCACCTTTTTTAAATGCTAATGTCACTGGCGCAGCAAAAGGACTGTAAGATTCTTCTATTAAATTATTCTTTAGTAATCTGGATATTTGTTCTTCGATTTCTAATTTATCTTCTATCGTACATCTGTATGGTCTTTTACTACAGTATGTATTTACAAGTAAATCTATGTGAGCTTCATAATCTTTAACTGATCCTATATCATACTTGTCCCTAGCAAAAATAGTTTTATATTTATTTATAACTTCTTCTATCTCAATTTTCTTTTCTTTATCTAAATGATCTGTCTTACTAACAAATTCCTCTGTTTCTATGTGTTCATTGAAATTTATTGCATATATTTTTATATTCTTATCTTCATTTCTGTTATCTTTAGACATCCTGTCTATTTTCCTTTGTTCTATCTGCAAGTCCTCATTTTGGATTAATTTGAACTTCTTTATCATATCCAATCCGATTATAAAATCCTCAAAATCTTCATTTTCTACTATATATGTATCGACCTCTTCTTCTAAATCAAAGATTTTTATTTTTATTGTTATCAAGCCATCTGTCTTCTTCACACCATTAACCATTTTCATATATGTTATATTCACATTGTCTTTTTTTTTTTTTTACTTTAATCAATCTTGAATTTATTAAAGAGATCTGTGAGCCTGAATCATAAACACCGCTCACTTCTAGTTTATTTTCTAATAATAGCTTGATTTTGATTAATGGTGTACTTACTCGTTTTTTTTCTCAGTATTCATATCTACTTCAATAATCGAATTATTATTTACATTTTTGGCTTTAAAAACCTTTTCAGATTCATTTTTATTTTTCTTGAACCAACATAACTCCTCCGGATGATATCTAATTCCTTTGTCCAAAGATTCACAAGTCTTACATGGCTTCTTCTCATTAATTTTATTTTTATAAGAATATATATTCTTTGTTATAGTTGAGTTTTTCTTGAAAATCATACATTCATATTTTCTTATCTCGTTGAACAAATCAGTAGTGTTGTTGAGTTCGTCCCTGTTTAACTTATTCAAGATAAAACTAGGTAAACCAGTTGCAATTAGATCTATCATTGTTCTGGAATCTATCGATTTATTTATATCTAGTATAAGCCGTTCTTTTTTTATAGCATAATCAATTAACAGCCCTTCTTTATACTTGAATGTGAAAGCAGTTGTGACTACATCCCACCCTTGGTTCCTAAAAGTTTCTAAAAATTTGTCTTTCCATTCATTCCATTCAGAATTTACTGATAGTTTAATTACCATCGAGCTATACCAATCCAAACTGGAGTTTTCTAAAAATAATCTCAATATATCTATTTTTGTTTCATCTTTTGTTATATTAAAACGCTCACACTCTTTTTCAAAATTCTCTATCCATTGCACTGCATTAGGATTCTTACTTGTGAATTTTTCGATAATAAATTTCTCTGAAACATGTTTTAAATTATGTTGATTTTCTTTTTTTGTTGTAGATTCTATTAATTTTTCCAGGATATGTTGCAAATTATCATCATTGCCTCTTGGTTGTTTTGTGCTCATTTCCTCTAAATATTGATCTAAAAATTGCATATTACCTTCCTCATCTATATATGTTTTCTTTAGATCTTCATCTAATTTTACCCATATCTTTCTGCTTTGGTGCCTTTTCTTTATACTATTTTTTATTTTTGAAAAAGTGTTCAATTTAACTATATATGTATGATGAATCACCGGCTTCAATTCATCAGGTAAAACATAACATTTTCCTTCTTCTGTCAATATTGAAGTTATGGCCAATATATTAGATTTGCCATCGATTGAGGCCATCATCGTGAACTCAAATTGCAGCCGGTCCATCTTCTTTTAGTTAACAAAAATGTCGTTTTATAAAGGAATATTATTATGGATTTTTTCTAAATGAAAACACAAAATTGTTTCTCTGAAATACAAAGAAACGACATTTAATGTCCACTTATCTATCTTTTTACACTATAATCCACTAAATTAATTTACACGTCATCCGCCATTTTATCGCGTGTCACTCCGACGCGTCAAATTCAAATTAATGAAATATCATTCCATTACATATATTTGGGTGCAATAAGAAAGAGACTTTTGCTTATAAATTTATTTATGTACGTCATAAGATAAAAATTGTTTTCTGGGTGAAAAATATGTCATGGAAAAATATAACTATTATCCACATTTGGATTTGGTGCTGAAGGATATTTATAAAATTTCTTTACGATATCGTCCCAAAACTTCATTTTTTCATAAACGAATGCATGTTTATATTCCGAAGTAGTATTTAATACCATGTAAGATAATTTCGACGTCATAGGTGGCCATGATGGAAAATCATATCCTTCTGGCACGGGATTTCTGAAATATAGAAAATAATTAATTAATAATTTTAATTTTTCAACACTTAAAAGTGTTTCCCATTGTTGGATTGTTGCGAGTTCACTTTTAATATAAAACTCTATATTATTTAAAAAGTAATTAGAGCCATTTATCTGAATATCAGTACTTCTGCATTTAACATACCCGTAAGCAATAAAGTTAGCCCACAGTTCTCGCATAATAGTTTTCATCCTCTTGTATTCATCAGACAACTTATCTTCATCAATATGCAAATCTAAGACAGCAGCTGTTTGTGCACAATGCATCGCTCCACGAATTTTTGTATGTGGAATAAATGGTTGACTTTCGTCTACAAATGTAAAGTCATAAAGGTATACTTTGTCGTTTCCAGCTCTCAATTGAAGTCTAGCTGATCTCATCGTTCCGTATTTTATCATAACATCCGAAAAAAAATCAATGTATTTTAGAACATTATTATCTGACACACTTTCTCTGCCAAAGTATAAACTTTTTATTTTTTTAGCCAGCTTTTCTCTATCTCTCTTATTGTGCCCAATGTCTTGAGGAACAAAATACAGAAAGTTTTCATTCATTTTTGGTTTCCACTTTTCAAAGCTATCCATGTGAAGAAGACCATCAAAGTCAGAAATTCCATAAAGCAATGGAAGTTTCTTGAAATTTCCACTCTCTAATATTTCTGCGGGACTCTTGTCTAAGAACATTTCTTGACCAAGATCTTTTTCCACACATGGAGCAAATACCATAACATCATCGGTTCTAGTTAATAGAGGCGCAGTATGCAACGATAATATGTCATATGGTATATTGAGATAAAATTTTTCCAAAGCAGAAATATCATTTGTATTATTGAAACCCAAATTTTTCGCAAACCATTTAGCATTCTCTAATGGATCAATTTGAACACTAAAAGCATTAAGATTTGAGCCGCTTTCTATAATTACTTTATTAAACAATCCATCAGTCATTTTCGAAAGTAACAGTACATCAACAGCGGCTGATCCAGCGCTATATCCAGCAATCGTAACCTCATTTGGGTTACCACCAAAATTATGAATATCTTTTTGTACCCATTTTAATACTGTAACCATGTCTTTCATTCCAGCATTTCCAGGGGATGTATCCGTACCTAGACATAAAAAACCTTGTGGCCCAAGACGATAGTTAAAAGTTACTGATATGACTTCTCCAGTACCGACCAGCTTTCTTGGCGTCAGTCTATTTCCTGATCCAATTTGGTATCCTCCACCGTGAATATATACCACCACTGGTAAGTCCTTTGTTATATTTTCGGGTACAAATACGTTAGCTATTAGGCATTGTTCTTTTACTTGATATCCGAAAGGTGGTGCTGCTACTTCAACGGGTTGTTGACATAAAATATTCTGCTCCGTAGCGTCAAACGTTGTATTCCACGTTGGCGGAGGCAGTGCGTTCTGCAATAATAAAATATTTTTTAGCTTTGTTATTTGTTGCAACACCAAATCAGTATTTTTATACTTTTGCTAAGAATTGATCATAAAATATTGAATGAAAACAATTGACTTGTCTACTATTTTATTATATGTATTTGTAACCATATTATGTAAAACAATACTAACCTTATAAAAGTCTCGTCCTGTTGGAACTGTTGCATATTGAATGCTATAGAAAACAAATATATTTCCTTCCCTATACCCGCGTACTGGCCCTTGAGAAATTTTCACATCACGATAATTAATTGTTTCTTGACATATTGCAAATGTAAATATACATATCAAATACGTCTTAACTAAACCAAACATTTTGTATAACTCCAAAAACAAATATATTTTTTAATGTAAGTAAATTAGTTTTTAATTCGTTATTAGAGTTAATTTCACTTTACTAATTGTGATTGTCTTCGGCGAATCCGTCAGGAAGCAGCAAGTAGCAGATTACTTTGTTAAATCTCTTTAACAAACAGAAATTAAACATTTTCTCTCTCACTAAATAACTCTTATGTTTATATTTACAAGTATAAAGATGCAAAAAGTAGTTGTGACCACAAACAGAGATATAATTGATAAGTACTGTAAATAAAAAGTTTTAACATAATTTTATACCACAGCACAGATTAATTAAGAATATAATACACAAATAAATCATTTTACCGCCATGGACACAGAACTGACTTTGTTATAATAATTTCCCAGTAAAATATTATTAATGAATTAACTCAAATTTACTAAATTACATTATTTTAATCGATTATAGTCTATTTAATAATTAATTTCAAACCGAAAGTATGATTTATATATATTATTTCCTACTTATTGTATCTGATAATGGAATGAGCATTACCAAAAATATTTTTTCATGATTTATACACATTTAAAACGTCGAGTTATGAAATGATGAAATCACGAAAAAATAAAACAGTGCATTAAGATTGACTTAACAAAAAAACAGCTTTACACAAGCCCTGCCAAGCTTCGCTGTGGCACATTGTGGTTGAGAAATTAGAAACAAAATAAAGAAAACATTTCATATAAGTTTAATTTGGCAATACTTGTGGAGAAAAATAATGAAAAAATAAAAAAAAATCCTTGATGCGGATTATATATCATGCTAAAATTTCAGCTCGATCGGTGCAAAACTTTTTGAGTTTTTGAAGCGTACACATACCAACATAACATTTTTATATATTTAGACGTATAAAAATTCAAATTATATTAGTCGATATTTCTGTGCGTGCATTATGAAACTTACTGCGCATGTCAACTATTAAATACTGTAGCGACAAAGAGACATTAATTGTATCGTACATTTTTGCGTATTTTCGTAATTTTGCAAAAAATTTAGCTAACGCGAATCACTCTAATGTTGCATTCAGTTTTCTCCAGACATAATAATTCGTGTATGCGATTGCGGACAAAAGAAATTAACATCGTACGATCGCGTTATGAAATTTGGTGAATCGTTTCCATTATGCTACTACATACGGATATAGGGTTGTTATTAATTTATACGTATTTGATATGCCGTAATTTAGAAAATAATTTAGATAATAAACGAGCCTATTGATGAAGAACGGTTTTTTTAATATAACAGCAGGCAAAGGGGTCATCCGGATGTTACGACGTATCACTATACAGTGCCGAAGGACGCCGAGGCAAGAGGGGTCACCTATGCTGCAGCCCTAAAGGAGGCTCGGGCCAAAGTGGATCTGAAGGAGGCCGGTATCGAGGCCGTTAAGTTCCGCCGCGCCGCCACGGGAGCCACCATAATTCAAATTCCCGGGGTGGGTAGCGGGGAAAAAGCCGACACTTTGGCCGAGCGACTCAAAATAGCATTAAGTGACTCCGGGATTAAAATCACACGGCCTGTAAGATGCGCTGACGTCCGCGTCTCTGGTTTAGATGACTCTGTCACTCCGGATGAACTGCGCGAGGCCATCGCGGCCAAAGGCGAATGCCCGATTGATCAGATAAGGGTGGGCCGCATACGACAGGACAGGTCGGGCCTTGGCGCCGCCTGGGCCAACTGCCCGGTTTCAGCCGCCAAGAAACTGCAAATGGGGCGTTTTCTCGTCGGCTGGGTAGCGGCGAGCATAAGCGTCGCCAAACCAAGAGAGCTGCGGTGTTTCCGCTGCTTGCAGGTCGGGCACGTAGCCAGCCGCTGCGTGTCAGAAACCGATCGTAGCCGACTGTGCTTTCGCTGCAGTCAGCCCGATCACAGGGCACCCGCTTGTAGGGCAAAACCAAAGTGCTCGCTCTGCGAGGAGGCGGGCAGGAAATCAGACCACAGACTGGGAGGTAGCAGTTGCACTGCTCCCAGCGTGAGGGTACCTAGGTATCGCCCATCACCTAAAAAGAAGACACCTACAAAGTCCCCGCGCAATAATGCGCCTATGGAGGTTATCGAAATTGTAGCCAATCAATATGGCCCTGCGGTTTCTACAGTGTAATATAAACCACTGCGCCGCAGCGCAAGACCTACTACACCAGAGTCTGGCGCAGTGGGACATCAACGTCGGCATAATATCTGAGCCCTACGTAATACCGGATAGAGGAAACTGGGTGGGTGACCTCGATGGCTTGGCCGCAATCGTCGTTACACCGGCGGACGGTTCGCCCTGCATCGGACCAGTTAGAAAAGGCCACGGCTATGTGGCAGCAAAACTGGGAAGCGATATGTGCATCATCAGCACCTATTTCTCCCCCAATCGCTCTTTGGCTGAGTTTGAAACCTATCTAAGGGAACTAGATAGCGTGGTGGACTGGAGCCGCCCGAGACATTTAATCGTCGCTGGGGACTTAAACGCAAAGTCTGCGGTGTGGGGATCGTTGGTGACCAGGCCGCAGGGAGACACGCTAGAGAAATGGACTGTTGGGCACAATCTGTCAGTTGCAAACAGGGGCTCCGAAGCTACATGCGTGCGAACGAACGGAGAATCCATCGTAGACGTAACATTCGTAAGTCAACATCTGTCCCGCTGGGTCCAGGGTTGGGAAGTCCTAACGGGGGTTGAAACCCTATCAGATCACCGTTATATCCGGTTCCGTACTCTCGCCCCGTCATCGTATCCGGAAATCAGCCCGAGTTTGTTAAAACTAGGCCCAACCTGGGCCCTTAGAAGCCTAGATAAGGAGCAAGCGGAACTAGCCATAACTGTTCAGGCTTGGTGCCCCAATCCAGAACCTATAAATACCGAGGACGAGGCAATGTGGTTTCGTGACGCTCTGACGTGCATATCCGACGCCGCAATGCAAAGAAGCCGCCCTGGACGTCGCCGACAAAGTGTATTCTGGTGGTCGGTGGAGCTCGCCCAGCTACGGGCTGTCTGCGTTACCACCCGTCGCCTTTACACTAGGGCTCGCAGACGACGTCCCCTATGTGCCGAAGAGGAAAGCCGAACCCACTGTGCATTCCGAGAGGCTAAACAGGCGCTAAGAATTGCGATTGCTGAAGCAAAAAAAAGGGCATGGCAGGAACTACTAGAGACGATAGAGCGGGATCCCTGGGGGCGCCCGTACCAGATAGTTACAAATAAACTGCGCCCCTGGGCCCCACCTCTCACAGTTACAATGGAGCCAGACCTGCTAAGCACGGTGGTGGCAAAACTTTTCCCCGAGCGGAGTACGCCAGATCTGCACCAAGGGACGCGCATCGAACACGTTGAAACCATCCCTGAGGTATCCTCTTCGGAATTAGAGACGGCAATAGAGCGGATGTCCACAAAAAAAACCGCGCCGGGGCCTGATGGCGTGCACGGGCGAATCCTGGCCCTCACCCTCACCGCTGGTCTTGGCGTGCGATATCAGTGCCTCCTCACAGAATGCTTGCGAAATGGCCACTTCCCGTTGGCATGGAAGACTGGACGACTGGTGCTATTAAGAAAGGGCAAAAAGCCCCCAGAGTCACCCTCAGCGTATCGCCCAATAGTCCTGCTAGATGAAGCTGGCAAGCTGTTCGAGCGGATCATTGCCGGTCGTATTTACAAGCACCTAGAGTCTGTGGGCCCTAACATACACGAAGCGCAATTCGGGTTTAGGAAGAGGCGATCAACAATAGACGCTATCGCTCGACTTCGAGCAGTGTGCGAAGAGCAGCTGTCCCGCGGTGGTGTGGCCTTAGCAATATCGTTGGACGTCGCCAACGCTTTTAACACACTGCCCTGGGAAAATATCGAGGCAGGCCTCAAATATCACGGGCTACCGGAGTACATACAAAAGTGTATTGCATCGTATCTTACAGGACGCCGAGTCGTTTACCCATCTAAACATGGTCTCAGGGAGCGACTTATCAAATGCGGTGTTCCACAGGGCTCCGTTCTTGGACCGCTGCTATGGAACATCGGCTACGACAAGGTACTCAGGGTGGAACTAGTCGCGGGAGTGACAACTATCTGCTATGCCGACGACACACTCGTGGTTGCTTGTGGGCAGGATTACAAGGAAGCGCGATTACGCGCAACTGCTGGAGTAGCCAGAGTTGTGTCCGAGATTAGAAAGCTTGGTCTCACAGTCGCCCTCGCCAAATCGGAGGCGATATGTTTCCACGGCCACCGCAGAGCGCCACCACAAGGTGAAAGCATTATAGTCGGCGGAGTATCTATCCTGATCGGCTCCACACTCAAATACCTAGGGCTTGTCCTAGATCCTCGGTGGACGTTCAAGGCGCACTTCACGACACTTGCCCCCAACCTTACTACCACAGCAGGTATGCTCTCACGCATAATGCCAAACCTAGGCGGGCCGGGTGGAGAGTGTCGCCGCCTATACGCTAATGTAGTGCGAGCGAAGGCATTGTACGGGTGCCCAATATGGGCGGATAAGCTGAACCGGTACAACAAAACCATCCTCAGGCAGTCGCAGAGAGTAATCGCAATTAGGGTCGCGAGGGCGTACCGCACGGTTTCGTATGACGCAGCGTGTGTTATAGCCGGCACCACACCCTGGCACCTCGAAGCGGATGCCTTAAGCGAAGTTTATTGGAGGAGGGCCGAAGCTAGGCACAATGGTAATGACCCAGCGCTCGGAGCAATCAAGTCGTGGAAAATTTCCGAAGAAAACGAAGCAATAAGACAGTGGGCGGAAGAACTAGCTACTGCGAGCGCTGGGTTCTACACCATCAACGCGTTCAGACCACATCTCGACAAATGGGTGAGGAGGCGGTGGGGCCGCCTCAGCTACCGACTCGTGCAGATATTGTCCGGACACGGCTGTTTCGGCAGCTATCTGCACAAGGTAGTCGGGCGTGAGGAGGCACCAACCTGCCACCATTGTGACGCTGGTGTTGTTGATGATGCGCTCCACACCTT